TGGCTCAAGTGGTAGACCACTAGCCTTGAGCTGAAGAGCTCAGGGACAGCGCCCAGGCCCAGAGTTCAGGCCCCACGACTGGACCCCCCCCCAAAAAAAAAAAAAACGAGGCTCTACCTTTTGTTGATGTTAGCATAGAGGAAAACTGATCTTTTTGAGTCTATTTCTGTCTTTCCCAGTGTTATGGCATTTTGTGAATAGCTAATGATTTATTTTTATCTGTTTATTACCAAAAATATACCAACTCTTTGTTTTTGAGACAATGCTCCACTGAGTAGGCCAGGGTGGCCTGGAACTCATGATCTCATGATCCGATGGCCTCAGTTTCCTTGGACGCTGGGATTCCAGGCCTGACTTACTAACTCTTGAATAGAACTCAGGCCCCTCTAACATGTAAGACAAAACCAAAATGAAACATTTCCACAAATATTCTCGGTCACTATTTCCACAGAATATGACTAAGCAGGATGATCTGCAGTTCCTTCATACCTGTAGCAGGCCTGCTTCTGCAAGACACACGGGCCATTTCTGCTCCTCTCACCAGAAATTCATTCGTGGAGATGGGCTAAGTCAAGCTGTGTGACAACGTGACACATGCCTGTCTGATACATAAAAGATGCGTATTCATGTTCAATAGAATGTTAGCTCAGTAACAAATGACATTTTATTACTCAGATGATCTTACAATGTCAACATCCATGCTCATAAAAAGTACATAGAAGGCTGACTTCATCAATGAAAGTCAGTTTTCATTCACTTAGAAGTTCCCCACTCTTCAAAAGCCTCTCCCATAGAAATGGAAATCTTCCATTTTTCAGAATTTGAATCCATCTCTTGAACAGATCCAAGTGGACACAAGGAGGGCAGGGTGAAGTGGGGTGGGGGGAAGGCTGGCAGCACCTCTGTGCTGCCCAAGGCTTGACAGACAATTCCTTCAGCACTCTTCCGGATGAAGCCGGTCAAGATGAAACCTAACTCAAATCTGGACATTGGTACAAGACCTAAGTTTGCACTTGAAGGTGTTATGTTTTTCCTCTTCCTACTATTTGCAATGGAAAAGAAAGAAAATTCAGCCTTTTCCTTGGAGTGAGCTCCGCTGTGTCTCTAGGCTGTTCGGAGCAACGATGCTTGAATTCCATGAGTCACTACAGGGTTGGTAGGTAATGTGGCCACCTTGAAAGGCAAAGACATACAGGAGGGGTTCTTTTCAAAGAATATTTTAACAAATAGGAGTTTGCTTCGTATGTACAGGCCATTGTCACAGGAGACTTGGATCGTTATATTCAGGAAATAAATATTTTCACTAATCAGTTGTATGTGTGTGTGTGAGAGAGAGACAGAGAGACAGAGACAGAGACAGATTATTCTTTTTTCACTGTAAGTTAGACTGTACCTTCCTGAGAATGCTAGCTCAATTATGCGTCGGCATATTCCGTCTTTCTATCCTAAATGGTCAGGAAAGTATATTTTGTACATCCACCAGAAACTGAAGTAGCTTGTTGCCTAATAAGCTAAGAAGAAACTTGTTTAGACAGATGTTTTAGTTGAGAGCATTGTAAACATGATTGTAAATTGACAAATATGTTGGTTATTCTCCTGTATCTGGGGGAGGTTGAGCCAAAGTTTATATAGATTAAAGGCTGAGTCTGGAAAAAAAAAACAAACTTAAAAAAAACCACTCCATACATGCAGATCAAGTAGTACAATGATGTCAGTTGACCATGGTTTTTAATAACGATTCACAAGACCTTCTATCGCTTGCCCTGCGTTTCACATGCACGTGACCTGGGTCACCCCATCTTCCTGGTCAAGCTGTCCATCATCTAGCTCCCGCAGGCCACTGTCCCCGCCTCCGCCACTGAACCCCGAGAAGCTGGGTCTCTCCTCCTTGACCCAGCACTCTCTGGAGGCAGAAAGGAAGCTCTCCTCCAAGGAGGCTCTGCCCTCCACAGATTGAGGCAGGCCCGTGTCTAAGCCGCTGCTCACTTTGTTTCTGTCTTCGCCCTTTAGAAGCCGGCTGCCTTTCCTCTGAAACACAAGAGATCCACAGCCCAGAGTTACAAGTCGGCATCTCCCAGGCTTCTGCTCCCTGCCGGAGCCATGCAGTCTTCCCCTGCTTCCCATTGAATCCTGCTCATCCCTGGGGCGGATGGTGTGATACAAGTGGGGCAGGCTTGCTGGCATGCTGCACCCATCTTCAGAGTCCTAAACAAGCTCCTGCCTAACTCTGAGAACAAGCTCAGAGCCGCCCTCCTCAGTCCTGGCTGTGTTGAATGTCTTTGTTGCTTTCTGGTGGGCAGATAGGCTGTTATACCTCTCCCAAGAGAGCCAGAGCCACAATCAGAGTCTGGGCAACAAAGCAAGGTAAAAAAAATATCATTTTCTTTCTTTTCTTTTTGTTGGTTGTGGGGCTTGAACTTTGGGCCTGGGTGCTGTCTCTCAGCTCCTCAGCTCAAGGCAAGCACTCTACCACTTGAGCCACAGCTCCACTTCTGTTTTGTTTTTTTTTGGTGGTTAATTGGAGATAAGAGTCTCACGGATTTTCTTGTTTGGACTGGCTTTGAACCATAATCTCAGATCTCGACCTCCTGAGTAGCTAGGATTACAGGCATGAGCCACCAGCGCCTGGCTGCTTTTCTTTTCTTTTTGTGCCATTGTTGGGGGCTTAAATTCTTGCTTGGCTTTTTCCAGTCAAGGCTGGTGTCGGTGGCTGGGTATCAGTGGGTAGCATCTGAGATCTGAGAATAGTGATTAGAAACCAGTCTGGGGGCTGGGCACTGGTGGCTCACACCTGTAATCCTAGCTACTCAGGAGGCTGAGATCTGAGTTCAAAGCCCACCCAGACTTTCCCTGAGACTCTTATCTCCAATTAACCACGAGAAACTTGGAGGTGGCAATGTGGCTCAAGTGGTAGAGTGCTAGCCTTGTGCTGAAGAGCGCTGGGACAGTGCCCAGGCCCAGAGTTTAAGACCCACAACCTACAAAAAAAAAATTAAGAAACCAGTAGGAAAGTCTATGAGACTCATGTCAAATTAATCAGCAAAAAGCCTGAAACGGAGTTATGGGTCAAGTGGTAGAGTGTTAGTCTTGAGCAAAAATGCTTAGGGACAGTGCCCAGGCCCTGAGGTCAAATCCTAGTACTGAGGTGTACACACACACACACACACACACACACACACCAAGGCTGGCACTATACCACTTGAGCTACACCTCTACTTCTAGCTTTTTGTTGGTTAACTGAAGTAAATCTCTTAGCTTTTATCTGCTCCAGCTGGCTTCAAACCAGATCCTCAGATCTCAATCTCTTGAGTAGCTAGGATTACAGGAATGAGCCACTGGCACTTGGCCAGGAATATAGTTTTGTTAGCTGAGATAGATGGAAGCAGCAGCAGACCTGCTCCAGTGGCTACCTGCCCCTCGTCACAGAGGAACAGGCTGCGCTGAGCATCCTAGAAGAGTCGAGACTGGGTTTACTTTATGCACACTTCGTTTCTTGTCTTGCTTCCAAGTACTACTGGTGACTCAAGTGTCAGCAGTTTGACCCATTTCATTGGGCAGACTGGTCTTTGCAAAGAATTTACTCAGGGCTGACAGTGTTCTTGGTACAGTTCAGGCGAGACAACCTTGTCTCTGTGAAGCTGATAAAGGAGCTGAAATAGAACTCAACATGGATATTCAGACTGCAGAGGAGATTTAATTCCAATGACATGCCCTGTATCGGAATATGAATACATAGTTGTGGGCACATAAGACCGAAAAAGGACTTAAAGATAAATTTAGTTGCCTATAATCCTAGCAACTCAGAAGGCTGAGATCTGAGGATTGTTGTTTGAAGCCAGCAGCCCAGACAGAAAATTCCCCGTGAGGGGCTGGTAAGGTGGCTTAGCGGTAGAGTGCTTGCCTTGCATACATGAGGCCCTGGGTCGATTCCTCAGCACCACATAAGCAGAAAAAGCTGGAAGTGGTGCTGTGGCTCAAGTGGTAGAGCGCTAGCCTTGAGCTGAAGAGCTGAGGAACAGCGCCCAGGCCCAGAGTTCAGGCCCCATTACCAACAAAAAAAAAAAAAAAAGTCCCCGTGAGACTCTTAATTCTAATTAATCACTCAAAAACTGGAAGTGGAGCTGTGGCTCAAAATGGTAGAGCACTAGCCTTGAGCAAAAAGAGCTCAGGGACAGTGCTCAGGCACCTTATGATACGGGGGCAGGGGTGGGGGGAAGATAAATTTAAAAAGTATAGTATTCCCTATCCACCCCAACACCTGCCGTGTGTGTGTGTGTGTGTGTGTGTGTGTGTGTGTGTGTGCGCACACATGTGTGTATGTGCCCGCTGGTACTGGGGCCTGAACTCAGGGCCCAGGTTGTTTGTTAGCTACTTTGCTGAAGGCTGCTGCTCGACCAATTGAGTCTCAGCTCCATTTTCAGCTTTTTTCTTTTTGTGTCAGTCCTGGGACTTAACTCAGGGCCTGAATACTGTCCGTGAGCTTTTGTGCTCAAGACTAGTGCTTACCACTTTGATCTACATCGCCATTTCTGGCTTTTGGTAGTTAATTGTAGATAAGAGTCTCATAGACTTTCCTGCCTGGGATAGCCTCCTAAGTAGTTAGGATTACTGGCATGAGCCATTGACACCTAGTGTACTTCCAGCTTTTTGATGGTTAACTGGAGATGAGTCTCATAGACTTTCCTGCCTGGAGCTAGTTTCACACCATGATCCTCAGAACTCAGCTTCCTGAGCAGCTTGGATTGTAGGTATGAGCTATCAGTGCACAGCTATTTCTCTCTCTTATAAAGTTTTTTTTTGGGGGGGGGTCTGGTTGTGGGGCCTGAACTCTGGGCCTGGGCACTGTCCCGCAGCTCTTCAGATCAAGGCTAGCACTCTACCACTTGAGCCACAGCGCCACTTCCGGGCTTTTTTCTTATGTGGTGCTGAGGAATCAAACCCAGGGCCTCGAGCATGCAAGGCAAGTGCTCTACCACTGAGCCACCTTCCCAGCCCTCTTTTATAAAGTTTATTTGCCAAGGATTTGTTCATATGCTAGTTAAGAATGAAAATTATAAGTTTTTGAATGTAAGAGCTAAAATTATAAAGGGCTTAGAAAAAAAACAGTGGTTAGATGCCCAGCCCAGTCATACAACATTTATTAACCCATGGGTGGTTTTATTTTTTTTCCTTGACCCAGTTACTGGAGTCTGTGAACAAAGTCAAAGGGCAAAGTGTCCAGTGGGTCCTTCTTGATCAAAGCGTCATGAATGACGCAGCTTGGGCATAGTTCTGTGTCTCACATTTGTCGCAGACACCCTTGAATTTGCCACATGCAGATAGCAGATCTCCAGGCTTTCTCCCTTTTATTCCATTCACCAAAGGGAGTGAATTAATACAAATGGAGGGACCTGTGAGTTACTCCCACCTAGGTCTGAGTTTTGAGACTGGGTCCTGCTCCCCAGCAAAGAATTAATCTTCTGGCTTCAGACTGAGCTGACAAGCACTGCTAGACAATTCTTTCCTCAGGCCTGGCCAGTGGTGTCTTTTTCACAGGAGCAAACAAATTCATTTCTGAATGATTTAACGTGGACTAATCAAATAGGAAGGCTGGATTCATGGGGGCTGCAAGGTGCTACTGGGATCTTTCTTCACCAGCAAAGGGGCCAAATGGAAAATTTGCAAATAAATTCCTCACCGTATACCAGCATACAGAGGCCAACTCTCACGTTCTCAATGAGGATTTCCTTATTAACACTGGATATTAGTGGGGTGCTGGTGCCTCACAGCTGTAATCCTAGCTACTCGGGAGGCTGAGATCTGAGGCTCACAGCTTGAAGCCATCCTGTGAGAATCTCTTGTCTCCAATTAACCAGCAAAAAGTGAGGAGTGGAGATCTGGCTCATGTGATAGAATGCCAGCCTTGAGTATAAAAGCTAAGGGACAATACCCAGGCCCTGAGTTCAAACCCCAGTACCAACAACAAATGGAAAATGAGGCACAACACAATAATTTCTACAAGCTTACATTTCCACTTAGCACTATATTATGATTTCTTTCCTTCCTTCTTTCCATCTTTCCTCCCATCCTTCCCCCTTCTATGGGGCTTGAACCAGAGCCTCGGTGCTGCCCCTGAACCCTTTTGCTAGTGTTTTACCATTTTGAGCCACAGCGCTACTTCCAGTTTTCTGGTGTTAATTGGGGATAAAATTTTCCTGCCTGGGCTGGCTTTGAACCACGATCCTCAGATCTCAGTTTCCTGAGTAGCTAGGATTACAGGCGTAGCCACCAACACCTAGCTTTGTGATTTTCTTTCTGCATCAATAATGTGCGATTTTTTTCATGCTAAAACTCCACGTTTACTCGTAAATCTTCTGACCTCCTATTTTCTCCAGGAACTGGGAGGAAAACATACCAAGTTCTGGATATAGATTCAGTGCCACCCTTGATCAACCTATCAACTTTGGAAACTCAATTCCACTTCTGAAAAAAAAAAAAGGGTATGACCTGTTAAAACTCCATGAGATCTTACGACAAATCAGTGAATTTAGAATGGCCTACCTTTTTACCTCTTTTTCCACTTCAGCATTTAAAAAATCAAAACAAAAGAATTAAGTTAGCATTATACCTGCCATCCTAAGACATTGTGTGGTATAGAATCTTGAACAGTGTCATGATGGACTGAGTTTGAGAGACAAAGAAATATGACTCATGAAGTGGTGAAAACATGGGGTGGATAGTCAGGATTTTCAGCCTTGAAGGAGAGCTTGGAAGCAGCTGCAAGGCCAAATGGAGCTCTTGAATCACTGGGAAGACTTAGAAGAATTTTTGTATGTGTGTTGGCTAGTTCTGGGGCTCAAATTTAAGGCCTGATACTCTCTGTTTGCGTTCTTTCCCCCTCAAAGCTGGCTCTCTACCCCTTGAGCCACAGCTCCACTCTGGCTTTTTTGCTGGGTAACTGGAGATAAGTATGTTCTGTACTTTCTGCCCTAGCTGACTTTGAATCAGAATTCTCCTATCTCAGTCTTCTGAGTAGTGAGCATTATAGGCATGAGCAACCCCGCTGAGCCTAACACTCATAACACTCATGCAAGGAACCCAAGTGGTTTGTACCACTAGCTCATATCTTTTTATTTTGGAGTAGTACTTAATTGTATGGATGTACCAGAGTTGTTTATCCATCCATCTTGTGGATCTTTCCCTCATTTTGTCAATTCTGACTTCACCACTATAAATATTTGTGTACAAGTTTTTGTGTGAACATAAGTTTATACTTCTCTAGGATAAGTATCCCAAATGGGCATGGCTGAGGTAACATGGTAAACATGTGTCTAACTTTGTTAAGAATCTGCCAAACGGTATTGCAGAGCGCTGTGTTATGGTGCATTCCTGCAATTGGAGTTCTGCTTCCTACTCTGCATTACCAGCTCGTAGTTACAGACAGTAGTTTTGTTTTTATTTTCCCCCTTCTAATAGGTGTATCTTCTACTGGTGGTGTCTCATCGTGATCTTTATTTGCATTTTCCTGATGAAGAGTAATGTAAGTGTGTGTGTGTGTGTGTGTATGTGTGTGTGTGTACCAGTAGTGGGACTTGAACTCAAAATCTAGGAGCTGTCCCTTGGCTTTTTTAGTCAAAGTTGGCACTCTACCACTTGAGTTACAACTCCCTGTCCAGCTTTTTGTTGATTAACTAGAGATAAGAGTCTCATGGATTTTCCTGCCCCAATGGCTTTGAACAATGATAATCAGATCTCAGTCTCCTGAGAAGCTTGGATTACAGATGTGAGCTACCAGTGCCCAACCTAAATATCTCTCAATGTGCTTATTTCTTGTCTACATAACTTCATTTGTAACATATCTAACACTTTTAACTATTTTTAAGTACCATTGCTTTCTTACTGTTGAATTCTGAGTTATTTATTTATTTTATTTTACTTTATTGTTAAGATGCTGTACAGAGGGGTTACAGTTACATGAGTAAGGCAACGAGTCCATTACTTGTTGATCATCGTTACCTCTTCCCTTTCTTGAGGTTGTCCACTATCCCTTCCCTCCTCCAACTCCCACACTCCTACTCCCCTTCCCCCCCCCCAGAATTTTTAATGTGTTCTAGACATACCACAAGATCATTGTATAGGTGTTATGTGAGTTTTTCCCTCCTACAGTTTGTGGCTTGACTTGTTTGCTTAAGCATTAATTTTACTCACCTCTGGGGTGTGAGCAGCTGAATTCCATATAACTGGCCTCTGAAGGAACACTACTTGTTTTGTAGCCAAATTCCCTTCACTGAAAATTAAAATAATAGCATTTAGTATTGTGAATTAGTTCTACTCTATATCAACATTATAGTCGCATTTGACTAGAAGGATCTACACATATCCTTCGTAAGATAGTCTTTTGAACCCCAAATATGAAGAAGAAAAAAAACCCTAACACAGAGAATACACCTTTTTCTTTTGCTTCCTGATGCTATAATGTGAACTGTTCATTCTGCCATGCTTTCCTGCCACAATGGGTTGGCATTCTGAAACTTTTAGCCAAAATTAATCTTTCCTTCCATAAGTTTTCCTCTCAAATATTTGGATCACAGCAATGATAAAAGGAACTAATGCAGAAAATTGGTACCAAAGCTATGGGGTCTTTGCTGTGGCTAAATGTGACTGTGTGGTACTTTGACTTGTGGAACTGGTGTGCAGAATTTGGAGAAGTTTGGAGGTGTGGGCTAGAGAAAGCCTAGGATGCTTTAAGGAGAGGTCAATGAGAGGTCTAGGGATGCTTTAAGGAGAGGTCAATGAGCAGTCTAGGGATGCTTTAAGGAGAGGTCAATGAACAGTCTAGGGATGCTTTAAGGAGAGGTCAATGAGTGGTCTAGGGATGCTTTAAGGAGAGGTCAATGAGTGGTCTAGGGATGCTTTAAGGAGAGGTCAATGAGTAGTCTAGGGATGCACTGGTCTACTGACCAGCAGGAAGGGGAGGAATGGCAGCAACGGCCAAGCTTACGAGTTTTAGATGGGAACAGAGTTTTGTTAGGAACTGGATTACAGGCCATGTGTATTACTTTCTGGAAAAAAAAAGTTTACATTTAGTCCATGTCTTGAGAGTTTGCCTGAGTTTAACTTTAACAGACAAGTCCAGGAAATGGACATGCGGGTTCTTTTTGTTGTTGTTGTTATTGTGATATTTGATTTTGCTTTGGGTTTTCTTTTTTCTTTTAAAGGAGTATAGGAGGGTGCAGAAAGAGAGGGAAAGTGAACAAATATGAGCACGCTATTCAGTATACACTATGTGGAAAATGAACTGTTTAACTTGTGGGCAGGGATGGGAGGGGGAGACTAGGGGAAAGCAAAGCAAAGGGTGACATTGTCCAAAAAAAGAAATGTATTCAAGTCAGGCATTGGTGGCCCACGCCTGTAATCCTAGCTACTCAGGAGGCTGAGATCTGAGGATTGCAGTTCAAAGCCAGCCTGGGCAGAAAAGTCCCTGTGATCTCCAATTAACCATTCAAAAACTGGTAGTGGAGCTGTGGCCCAAAGTGGTAGAGAGCTAACCTTGAATAAAAAGAGCTCAGAAATAGCACCTAGGCCCCGAGTTCAAGCCCTATGACCAAAAATAAATAAACAAAGAGGGGAGGGACAGCTTACACTAAGCCAAAGGAAAGAAATGTACATATCACCCGACGTGGAAGAAATAGTTGTATTGTCAAAGCTCATAGATTTCATAAATTTTATAGACCACGATAATGATAATTTGCCTTGTAAAGGTTAAAACGTGTTTGTGACTTTAACTATCACTATCCCACAATAGTGTGAAATTTGTGAAATTTATGTAATCACAATCTCAATAAAAGAGTACTTAAAAAAAGAAGAAAGAAATGTACTCATTACTTGACTTATGAAATAGTTGCCCCTTTGTACAACAGCTTAATAATAACAATAAAGCTCTTTTTAAAAGAAATGGAAGCTGGGCGCTGGTGGCTCACACCTGTAATCCTAGCTACTCAGGAGGCTGAGATCTGAGGATCGCGGTTCAAAGCCAGCCCAGGTACGAAAGACTGTGAGACTCCTATCTCCAGCAAACTACCAGAAAATCGGAAGTGGCCCTGTAGCTCAAGTGGTAGAGTGCTTGCCTTGAGCTGAAGAGCTGAGGGACAGCGCCCAGGCCCAGAGTTCAAGCCCCACGACTGACCAAAAAAAAATAAAATAAAATAAAAAATAAAAATAATGGAGTGTTAGTAATGGCTCAAGTGTTAGAGTACTTGCCTAGCAAAGTATTCTGAGTTCAATCCTTAGTATCATTGAAAGAAAGGAAAGAAGGAAGGAAGGAGGGAGGGAGGGAGGGGGGAGGCAGGAAGAAAGGAAGGAAGGAAGAAAAAGAAAGAAGGAAGAGAAGGAAGGAAGGATGGAAGGAAGGAAGGAAACAAAATATTATACTGGAAGCACTGTAGGACTTTCCTGGAGTTCAGTTTCCTTTTGCTTCTTATTTCCCTCCTCTACACCATGTGTATTTGAGTCCTTGACATGCAGGTAGTGAAAGATTCTTAGTGTATGCTTAAATTTTATATTTTTGGATCAATAAGAAATGCATCGTCTTTGATTTTATCTTGTTTAGTGTTACCCTGCAGTATTATGTTGATAGTCTTTCCTTATCTCATTTTTACTTTACAACTTTTTTTAAGAAAGCAACTTATTGAGATAGAATTTATATGCCATCCTAATGACCTGTTAAGGTATAGAATTCAGTTTTTAGTATACTCCTAGAGTAGCAGAGCCAGCCATCCACACAGCCCAGCTTGAAGACACTTTAATTCTACCCCCAAAGGAGCTACTCCGCAGTAGTCCTGCTCCTTCATTGCTCCTCCCAGGAAGCCAGAGGCAACCTGTAATTTACCTTTCCTATACACAGATTTGTATATTCTGGGCATTTCAAATAAATGGACTTGTATACACACACACAAAAATAAAAGTAATGGACAAATTAATTTGGTGAAATTTCAAAATGGCATATCATTCAGGTTGTGGCATAGCTATTCCTGCTCACAGCCAGGTTCCTGTGAGAATTGGAGCACAAGCAAGAGTAGAAATACTTGAAAATGTGTGGTTTGAGGGAAAATAGAAAGAATGCTTTTAAAGTTGCAGACAGGCTGGGAACCAGGGATCCATCCAGATAATCCTTGCTACTCAGGAGAATGAAATCTGGAAGATTGTGGTTTGAGGCCTGTCCAGGCAGAGAGATTTCAGTACTAACTTCATCTCCGAAATAACCAGCTAACAGTAGAACAGGTGTGGCTCCCGGGGTACAGGCAGGTGAAGTGAGTTCTAGGCCCTGTGGGGTAGACTTGTGAAGGCTGTGTTTTATCAACCAGACTAGATCTATGTCACCTAAGAGATTTGTTAGCTACATGGGTGTCTGTGAGAGTGTTTTACCAGAGCCAAATAAATTTCCCCCCTTAAGTACAAAATAAACCAGCTGGGTGCTGTAATCACGCCTGTAATCCCAGCTACTCAGAAGACTGAGATCTGAGGATCATGGTTCAAAGCCAGCCTGGGCAGGAAAGTCTGTGAGACTCTTATCTCTAATTAACCACTCAGAAAACTGGAAGTGGCGCTGTGGCTCAAGTGGTAGCACGTTTGTCTTGAGCTAAAGAGCTGCTCAGAGTTCAAGCCCCTCGACCGACTAAAAAAAAAAAAAGAACAAAATAAACCATAAACCAAAACACAAAGCCAGGTGCTGGCGGCTCATGCCTCTACTCCCAGCTAGTTAGAAGGCTAAGAATTGAGGATGTCAGTTCAAAGCCAGCTCAGGCAGGAAAGTCCATGAGACTCTTATCTTCAAATAACCACAGGCAGAAAAGTTCCTGTGCTACTCTAATCTCCAATTAGCCACTCAAAAACTGTAAGTGGTACTGTAGCTCAAGTTGTAAAGCACTAGCCTTGACTCAGGGTCAGCACCCAGGTCTCCTGAGTTCAAGCCCTAGGACGCTCTCTCTCTCTCTCTCTCTCTCTCTCTAACAGAATACTAAGACAAAAACTTGAATATACCCTAAGTTTGATCCCCAACATTGCAAAAACAGCCAAACAGAATTGTCATTACAAAAGAAAAAGATTTTTAATGTTTAAAAACTCCTATATGGGGTGGGAATGTAGCTTAGTGGTAAAGTGCTTGCCTAGCATGCATGAAGCCCTGGGTTCAATTCCACATACACAAAAAGCCAGAAGTGGCACTATGGCTCAGGTGGTAGAGTGGTAGCCTTGAGCAAAAGAAGTTCAGGGACAGTGTCTAGTTCCTGAGTTCAAGCCCCAGGACTGGAAAAAACAAACAAACAAACAAAAAACAACCTCCTCTCACTATTGTCATCTTTTTGTTTTCTGGATCCCCTAGTCTGTATCAATGTATGCGTTTCTGTATGTCAGTAACTCTCACATATTACACATTTGTTCCCTAACACCCTTTTCTTTGCACACTGTGCTAGTGTCTGTGTACCTTCAAAAAATGAAGATATAAACGCACTCCTAAGCTGGGGGCGTGGCTCAAGTAGTAGAGTGCCTGCCTGGCAAGTGCAAGGCATTGAGTTTAATATGCCACTACTGCGAATGAGAGAAAGAGAGGAAGAAAGAGAGGGAGGGAGGGGGGGTGGTGGGAATAAGGAAGGAAAGGAAGGAAGGGAGAAAGAGAGGGCTGGGAATGTGGCTTAGTGTGTAGTATGCATGAAACCCTAGCCTTGATTCCTCAGTACCACATAGACAGAAAAAGCCGTAGGTGACACTGTGGCTCAAGTGGTAGAGTGCTAGCCTTGAGCATAAGAAGTTTAGGAACAGGGGCTGGGAAGGTGGCTCAGTGGTAGAGCGCTTGCCTTGCATGCATGAGGCCCTGGGTTCGATTCCCCAGCACCACATAAGCAAAAAGAAAAAAAAGCCGGAAGTGGCGCTATGGCTCAAGTGGTAGGTAGCTCTTCAGCCTTGAGCTGAAGAGCTGAGGGACAGCCCCCAGGCCCAGAGTTCAGGCCCCATGACTGGACCCAAAAAAAAAAAAAAAAAGAAGTTTAGGAACAATGCCCAGACCCTGAGTTCAAGCCTCGGGACTGTCCAAAGGGAAAAAAAAGAAAAGAAAAGAAAAAGAAGGAAAGAGAGAAGACAGAGAGCAAGAAGAAATTTCATAAAATAAAAATATACTTTATAAGTTTTGGAAAATCAGGCTGTTCCCAGTTTCCTGCAATCATAAATTATGCTGTTATAAAACTGTATAGCCTTTGTCTTACAAATTATTTCCTTGATATAAAGTCTCAGAAG